GAGGCAGAGGCAGGTGGATCTCTGTGAGTTTGAGTTCAACAAAAGCTAGTTCCAGGACAGCTAGGACTGTTATACAGAGAAACCCTGTCTCAAAATATTAAAAAAAAATTAAATCATTCATGGTCATTTGTGCCAAAACACTAAAATGAGTTACTAAGACTTGCTCCTGGTAGGAGGAGGGAAATGGACTCTATGTTTTCAAGAGAGGGGATTCAAAGAATCTTGGAACGTTATCTTTAAACCATTATGACAAAAATTATGTAATCAATTCTTGAAAGATGCTGTAGTGGCACACATACAGCGCTCAGGAGGTGGAGGCAGGAGGATCAGCAGTCCATGGCTTGTAGTTGGCCTTTTACTCTTTGGGGGTCCACCACCCAGCTCCCAAATAAATACACAGAGATTTATTCTTACTTTTGAATGCACAACCTTAGCTTGACTTGTTTTTTTGCCAGCTTTTCTAACTTAAATTATCCCATTTCTCTTTAATTACTTTTTGCCTCCAGACTTCTTACCTCTCTTTATTCTATATATCTTTCTCTCCTTCTAACTTTGTGGCTAGCTCCTAGTGTCCTCTTTCTCCTCCTTTTCTCACTCTTCCCTCTTCTCATTTGAGCCTAGATTTCTCCTTCTATTCTCTCTGCCTGGCAGCCCCACCTACCTCTCTCCTGCCTCACTATTGGCCATTCAGCTCTTTACTAGACCAATCAGGTGTTTTAGGCAGGCGAAGTAACACAGCTATACAGAGTTAAACAAACGCAACATAAAAGAATGCAACACATCTTTGCATCATTAAACAAATGTTTCACAGCAGAAACGAATGTAACACATCTTCAACGAATATTCCACAACAGGGGCTCCATAGACAGTTTGAGGCCAGCCTGGGCTACAGCAGATCCAGTCTCAAAACTAAAAAGAAACAATATGAAAGCCAGATGTGGCGGTGCATGCTCACAGGCCCTGCTCTCTGAGCACACCTGTAAACTCAGCACTTGGGAAGCCCGAGGTAGGAGGATTACAGGTTTCAGGCCAGAATGGGCTACATAGTTAGTTCCTGTGTCAAACATAAAAAATAAAGAAATCTGCTGTTTTCCAATTGCTTTTCACCTAGTCAATATGCTAGAAAGGCTTATGTTTAATTTCTTCAACACATTATAGAACAGAAGTCATTTTATGTAATTCAACATATTCAGAATATTATCACTTAAACATGTCACCAGTACAAGTTTTTTTGGAGATAGAATCTTTCCATATAAGTCCTGGATGACCTAGAACTTGCCATGTAGAAGTTGGCCTTGAACTCAGAGATCCACCTGCCTCTGCCTCTCAAGTGCTGGGATTAAAGACGTGCGCCGCTGCCCTGTTTTATTATTGTTCTTTTGTTACATTCAAAGTAAAACATGGGTGTGATTCCATTTTTGATGGAGAGGGTGGCACAGAGGTTTGTGTAGCTATATCTTTGATTCGTTGGTTCATTTCATTTTTGTGGGCACTCTGAGGTCTGCCAACATCCCCTACCCTCAATTTCATACTTACCTGACGAACTAGGATACTGACGTGTGTGGGTCAGATGACCTGTCCAGGGTCAGAAAGGACTCAAACCCAATAGAAGTGCAGGGGGTGCAAATCTGTCCCCTAATCGGTCAGCTTCCCCAGCTGGTGTGCAGCTGCTGAGGGTCTGGCAGGAACCAGGTGTCAGGGCAGAACAGGGAGTATTCCGACAGAAAAATACCAGTCCAAATGTGAGCAGGATGCAAGCCCAGTGGGAATGAAGATGAGGAAGAAGAGGCCCCAGGGCCAGGCGAGATGACCGGGGAAAATGTTGAGAGATGAGACAGGAAAGGAGGAGCTGGAACATTCCGGAAGGGTCCAGGGAGGGACAGCTCGACAGTTGTGGAGAGGAAGAATTGGAGAGGAGCCCACTAGGAGGGTTGGAGCTGATGGGTCACACATGAATTTGTCAGAGGTTACAGTGGCCTCAACAGAGAGTGAGCTTGTAGGGGCTGGGGACGAGGCTTAGCCATAGTGTGCTCCCTTGGAGTAAAGATGACGGGTGCAAAGCTGAGTGGAGGGCATGCTTGGTGACCTCAGCTGCTGCACCCATCCCTCCTAGCTCCTACCTACCTCCCAGCTCGGGCCTACCTCAGGGCCACAGAGGGTAGGGGCATAAAGTTATGGCTTCCTTCCTTCCTTCCTTCCTTCTTTCCTCTTTTCCTCTCTTCCTTCCTCCCTCCCTCCCTCCCTTGTACTTTTTTCCATGTGGTGGAGGCATAGGCCTTTAATCCCAGCACCCAGGAGGCAGGGGCAGGCAGATTCTGTGACTTCTAGGCTGGCCCGATTTACAGAGCCAGTTCCAAGACATTCAACGCTACACAAAGGGACCTATGTCGAAAAACCAAACCAAATCAAACAAAATAAAAGCAACACACTACTTTTTCTAGGCATGATGGTGCACAATTTTAATCCCAACACTTAGGAGGCAGAGGCAAATGGATCTCTGAGTTCAAGACCAGCCTGATCTACAGAGTGAATGCCAGGACAGTCTGAGCTACACAGAGAAACCTTGTTTTGAGACAAAACAAAACAAAACACTACTTTGGGGGCTTCAGAGAGGACTCAGCATTTTAAGAGACTTGCTGCTCTTGCAAGGACCCAGGTTCAATTCCCAGCATCTACACGGTGGCTTACAACTGTCTTTAACTCCAGCTCCAGTGGAACAGATGCCCCCTTCTGGCCACCTCAGCATCAGGCATGAACGCAGCACACAGACATACATGAAAGCAAAACACTTATATGCATAAAATAATAAAATAATAAGAGTCAAAAGAAGCATGACTTTGTCTTATTTGTTTATTCATTCATTTCTGAGACAGGGTCTCCTGAAGCCCAGGCTGATGTTGAACTCCTTATGTAGCTAAGGATATCTTCTGGTCCTCCTGCCTTCATTCCCAAGTACTGGGATTACAAATGTGCCAGCATCCTCATTCATCAGATGCTGGGGGTCAAACCCAAGGCTTGCTAGGCAAGCACTCTTCCCCTTGAGCTACAGCCCTCATCTCTATGAACAACTGCTAATTGGTCCAAGGTTCATGACCTCTCATTATCAAGAAAGTCTTGGTGGCAGTGGTGGCTCACGCCTTTAATCCCAGCACTCGGGAGGCAGAGGCAGGTGGATCTCTATGAGTTTGAGGCCAGCCTGGCCTACATAGTAACTTCCAGGACAGTAGGACTGTTTCACAGAGAAACCCTGTCTCGAAAGAAACAAAAAAGTCTTAAGTCTTAGGTATCAGGTATGCAGTAGCCCTGACATTAAACCCAGCTGCTGTGCTATCTGCTGCCAGTGCTTTGGCTACTGGTGTGAACAATTAGTAAGACTTTGTTTTGTTTTTCTGTTCAAGTCTTAGACTGTGACCCAGGTTGGCCGCAAACTCCTGACAACCTGCCTGCCTGAGCCTCTCAAATGTTGGGATTGCAGATATGAGCCATCATGCTTAGTTCAGTGAGACTTTTTTTTTAAAAGAAGTTTATTTACTTTTGTTTCAAGACAGGGTTTCACTGTGTCGCCCTGGCTGTCCTGGAACTCACTCTGTACACCAGGCTGGCCTCAAACTTGGAGATCTACTTGCCTCTGCCTCCCGAGTGCTGGGGCTAGAGGTGTGTTCAGGGTGTTTATGAGCACCTGAGCAAATGTGTGCTTTATGTGCACGAGGAGCCTGCGGAGACCAGTCCCCTAGAACCGGAGTAATTGGTGGTCGTGAGCCACCACATGAGCGCTGGAATCAAACCCAGGTCCTTTATGAGAGCAGTAAGCATAACTGCCAAGTCATCTCTGCAGCTCCTATTTGGTGTTTTTCTGTTTGTTTGTTTGTTTGTTTGTTTGTTGAGACAGAGTCTCTCTACAGCCTTGGCTGGAACTTGCAGAGATCTCCTAGCATGCTCTCAAAGTAATGGGATTACAGGTGTGTGCTACCAGGTCCAGCTTCAAACTGCTTGCGCTTTCTTTGTTTTTTGTTTTTGTTTCTCGAGACAGGGTTTTTCTGTGTAGCTTTGGGGCCTGTCCTGGAACTCACTATGTAGCCCAGACTGGCCTCGAACTCACAGAGATCCACCTGCCTCTGCCTCCTGAGTGTTGGGATTAAAGGTGTGTGTCACTACTACCCGCTGCCACCATCACACTGTGACAAACTTAAAAGGTTGTCAGGGCTCGATTCTATTCTTAGCGCATGTTGACACAGGTCACTTGACTAAGCCAAGCCAATGCAAATTTTGGTTCAAAAAGTTAGGAAATATATCAGGGGGAGAATTCACTCCTCATTTTACAGACCAAGTCAGCGGCTCTCAACACAACTCCTTTGGAGATTTCAACGGCCTTTTCACAGGGGTTGTTTATCAGATAGTCTGAATATCAGATATTTACATTACGATTCATAACAGTAGAAAAATTACAGTTATGAAGTAGCAATGAAATAATTTTATGGTTGGGGTCACCACAACATGAGGAACTGTATTAGAGGGTCGCTGCTTTATAAGGGCTCCCCTTCAGTGATCCGTCCTCCGGTTACCCACTTCTGAATTTCGGCCTGGAAATCCTTACTAGTCAGCTTATCACTCAGAAAAACAGGCCTATTCCTGTGGATGACAATCACAGCAGCAATAACAACCATATTCCCTACGAAAGACCCTGTTCGACCAGAATAAACCAAGGCACAGCAGGATGGAGATGCTGGGATGGGGTGGGAAGGAGCCAAGGCGCCCTGCGTGCTCGGCACAGCAAGTTTCAGCCACTGCAAGATTCGGACGAACAGCGCCTCCTGTCCAGGAAAAAAACGACAAACAAGCATCGCGGAGCTTCGCAGAGCAGGCGACCCCTGTCTACAGCAGTTCAAGGCCCGGACTCTACTTTCCGCGCGGAGAGGACAGCGGGACCGTTCTGCGCAGCCGCAATGGGGCGGACCGGGGCGTGCACGCGGAGGGCGGGGCTGACCCGGTCCTCGCGCAAGCGCGCGCAGGCCAAAGCGTTTGGCGGGTTTTTCCTGCCTGTGCTCCTCACTGAGGAGCTAAGCAGTAGTTTCGGCTGCAAGTTTTTCTCTCCGGAGCTAGACCTTTCGAGTTTTCTTTTTGTTGACGCGTTTCTCTGTGACCTGGTGGCTGGGGTCTTCTGAGGGCCCGCGTCCCTGTTACCTTCGCCCAAAGCGAAAGGACAAGCTTCTGCTGAGCAGACTTGAACTGAGGTAGGAGCTGAGGCGCCGACCCCGCGCCGGGACACCCCGCCGGGACACCATGGCCGTGTCCACCCAGCAGCTGGCGGAGGAGCTCCAGATCTTCGGCCTGGACTGCGAGGATGCCCTAATGGAGAAACGTGAGTCCCGGACCGAGGGGGTCCCTTCCAAGTTCCATATGCTCGTGGGGTACCGCTCGGGTCCTGATTAAACGACAGGTGACATTGCCAAAAGGAGACACTAGAACCATTTGCAGCTCACATCTCATTATCTGTCACTTTGTGGCTTTTCTCATCAGAGTTGTTTTTCAAAGACAGGGTTTTGCTTCTGTAGCCCTGGCTGTCCTAGAACTCACTGTGTAGACCACTGGGCTGTCCGGCCTCGGATTCTCAAAGATCTGCTTTGAGATCTGCTTCCCGAGTGCTGCGGGATTAAAGTGTGCACCGCCATGCCTTGGTCAGGATGGTTTTAGTGGTCTGTGCAAATAGGAGCTCCTCCAGGTGGATCCCTATTACTTTATTTTCGCTTTGGAAGAAACTTCAGGCTTCTTGACTCTTTAGATGGATAAACACAGGCAAGGAGAATGAGTTGTCTAAGCTGTGTACCAGTCCCTGTCTCTTGCTCTGGAGTCCGTGCCTCACCATACTGGTTCCTAGAGTCCACGGGGAAGACCTAAATCACACATCTCAGTGAGTCGGCTTCAGAACAGCACTCTATACCGTCACCTGAGCCACCCGTCAGCACTTTGAACTTCTGGTTTTGGGAACTAAAACCATTGTGTAAATGGACTTGCCTGTTATCCCAGCACTTGGGAGACTGAGGCCGGAGGGTCTTAGAGAATGCAAGGCCAGCTAGAGCTGGACACTGAGCTCCTGTCTGCTTTGCTTTTAAAGGTTAAAAGAAAAAAGAAAAAAAAAGCACAAGCTAGTGTGTAATGCACTTCTTTCATGGAGAATGAAATACTCCAAGTCCTTGTGAGGACTTAAAACAAATCTGTTCTTGCTTTTTAAAATTATCTTGAGACAGGGCCTCTTTTTGTAGACTAGGCTGGCCTCAAACTAGCAGAGATCCACCTGCCTCTGCCTCCTGAGTCCTGGGATTATTTATGTGAATGAGTGTGTGTACACGTGTGTACGGTTACACCAAACGTATGCTGAGCCCTCAAAAGCCAGAAGAGGGAGTCGGCCTCTGGAGCTAGTTAGTGCCACTCTCACGCATGTCGGAGCACACACTACATACTGGCTGTAACTTCCCTGCCACCAGTCCTGGGTGGCCTTTGGAGTCTCTCACCACCACTTCTCAGCCTTTAAAGATTCATTTTCTCTGGGCAGTGGTGGTGTACGCCTCTAATCCCAGCACTTGGGAGGCAGAGGCCAACGGATCTCTGTGAGTTCAAGGTCAACCTGGTCTACAAGAGCTAGTTCCAGGACAGGCTCCAAAGCTACAGAGAAACCCTGCCTCAAAACAACAACAACAAAAAATTCATCTTCATGTGAATGGCCACGACTCAGCTAGAATTGCGTTCTGCTACATACATCACTCCCGTGTGACACTCTTAGTCCTCCTGGGTCGCTCTTAATCTATTGACTGGTTAGCTTGCTCCAGGCATTCTCTGTCTTTGCCTTCCATACTCTGGGATTTACAGACAGGCCACCGCGCCCACTGCACTCCTGTCTTCATGCTTGTCTTCAGTGCTGTGTGACAAGCACTTTACCTGTCGGGACCTGTCCCAACCCTCAAGTATTTAAATGGCCAGACTCCCTCTTGGCTCTGTGATCCCTTTTCCCGCAACTTCATTTTTCTGCATCGCTCCTTTGAGCATCTAAGGTACTGTGTACTTTCTTGTTCTATCTTCACCCCAGTAGTGAGCTTCCTGTGAATAAGACAAAAACTTCTTGCTCACTGCTGTGTTCCCAGGGCCTGAGAATAAGCAGTAACTGGATAACAGTTGACTACTTCGCCTCAATATGAAAGCAAAAAAAAGTGAACTAGGGGGCTGGAGAGATGGCTCAGAGGTTAAGAGCACTGGCTGCTCTTCAGAGGTCCTGAGTTCAAGTCCCAGCAACCACATGGTGGCTCACAACCATCTGTAATGAGATCTGCTGCCCTGTTCTGTCTCTTGCCGGTACAACACTATATACATAATACATAAGTAAATCTTTAAAAGAAAAGAGAAAGAAAAGAAACGAGCTAGGTTCTTCCTTTCTTCCTTGCCCGATTTCTCTCCCTGCAGTGGCAGAGCTGTGTGTTCTGTACAGACAGACTGAGGAGGGAATGGTAAGCGAGCTTATTGCCTTCTGCACCAGCACGGGGAAAGTGTGCCTTACTCCAGAGATCCTGAGCTCTTTTGAACATGAGGTAAGAGCAAATGTGAGTTAACTGATGTCTTTCTGCTGCATGAAGGTGTGACTATAGGAAAAGATGCAGGCTCGGGTCCCAGTGTCAGCTGGATCTTTTACTTTCTTTCTTCCCTTTGTTTGTTTCTATCATAGTACCTTTCAGTTCTGTACGTTTATTTATGTTGTGTGTGTGCATGTGTCTATGTATGCACACCTTGCTACAGAGCTTAGAGGACAGCTATGAAAAATTAGTTGTCGCCAGATGGTGGTAGCACATATCTTTAATACTAGAGAGACAGTTGGATCTCTGAGTTTGAGGCCTGGTCTACATAGTAAGTTCCAGGACAGCCAGAGCGACATTAATGAGACCCTGTCTGGAAATGAAAAAAGAAAAGTTAATTCTCTCCTTCTACTAAGTGGGTTCTGGGATTCAGATTCAGCTTAGCATTAACTATTAGGCTTAGCAGAAGTGTCTTTGCCATGTTACTTGCTATTTTTGAGCCTTAGTTTTCTTCCTCCTGTCCGATTCTGATAACCTGTGTTTTTAATATGATTGTTGTAAAAATTGATGGCAGGTGTGAAAGAGAGTTATTACTAGGATTATATGTTGTCAGCAGTTACTGGAGAAGCTTTTTAACTTTTATTTACTTTTATTATTATTCTAATATGTGTATGTGTGCATGAGTGCAGGTGTCTGCAGAGGCAGATCCCCGGATCCGGAGTTACAGGCAGTTGTGAGCTGAGTGTGTGTACTAATCCTGATCCTACTTTCTCCCAAATGCTAGCTTGATAGGCGTGATCCGCCATGCTCAGCCTGTCATCTTTTTGTTTGTTTTAGAGACAGAGTCTCACTGTGTAGATCAGGCTGACCTTGAACACACAGATCCACCTGCGTCTGCCTCCCAGTATTGGGATTAAAGTTGTGCACTACCATGCTACTTAACACTTTTTGGAATAGTTTATCTTTGACTCCGTGAGAATGGGGTGATACTGGAATTGAACCAGGACCTCTTGCATGCCTGGCAAGTGCTCTACCACCTGAGCTATATCCCTTTTTTTTTTCTGCTTACATTTGGAATGCCTGCTACTTCTTCAAATGGGAAATGCCCTTCCTATTATCAGACTATGGAATAATCTATTCACCGTCTGCTTTTATTCCATTCCTCAGGTTCTAAACAAAAAATTATCCAAAGCCTGGCACAGTGCCTCCAAAGATAGTGGCCATGCAGGAGCCAGAGACATTGTTTCTATACAAGAGCTGTATCCTTTTATGCAGAAGACCTTTGCACTAAGCCACATATATGTATTTTGTAATTTCTCAACAATTGTATATATAATTTAAAAACAATTTTTTAAAAATACCTAATGTTCAGAGTTTCAACTAATCTCATGTAATTGCTCTCCTTGACTAGTGTTTTCAGGATTGAAGCGGAGGAAGAAGAGGAGACCCTTTTGAACTCTTACACCACACCCTCTAAGGTGAGCATGTGATGTCTGGAAACTGCATTCTACAAGTAACATTCTTAAAAACATGTCACAAAGCTGGGCTTGGTGGTGCACACCTTTAAACCCAGTACTTGGGAGGCAGAGGCAGGTAGATCTCTGTGATTTCTAGGACAGCCTGGTCTCACCAAAGAAAGTAAGTTCCATTTCCCTACTAAGGTTCACAGTCTGAACAATATGTGTGAGGGTATGTCCACCTCGGTCCCATCTGCCACTCCTGCCACATTGGTTTTCTTGTTCGTCTTCAGGCATACCAAACATACACTCACCTCGTGGCCTTGTGCCAGGGGCAGCTAGCCTGTCTAAAGTAGCAGCTTCCTTCCTCTTTCTCTTCTGTATCCATTCTCTTGCTTTATCTTTCGCCGCGGACCTGAATTTTGTTCCATCATTCCGTTACAGAAGCTCCCAGATCATGGATGCTGCTTCGTTCACTGTTCTTTCCCCAGGGCCTGGCCCATGACAGCTGGAGAATTCATGTGTTAGAGGAATCTATTTGGAAAATAGCTAGAGAAAATGTATCAAAACCCCAAAGTCATATAAATATATGACTTTGTCTTACTCATTCTTCCTGGTGAAACATCTCCTGAAAACTGGGAGTGTGGCCCGGGAGTACATGTTTAACGTGTGCAAGGCCCTGAAGTCCATTCCCAGCAACTCCCTAAGAATATCTAAGAAAATTATCCAAATCTTGGAAAAAGCTATATGCATGATGAGGTGCATCATAGCATTATTTATAATCACAAGAAATTAAAAATAACCTGTAATCTAGCAGTAGAGAAGGAGGCAGAGAAATTAGTTATGAATTCAATCATAGAACAGGACTAAGGATAAAGATTGTACCAGTGTAGGAGGATGCATATAGAATTTAAAAATAAGTGTGTAAAATGCTGTAAGTTTTCTTTGTTTGTTTATATATTTATTTTGGTTTTTTGAGACAGGGTTTTTCTGTGACTTTAGAGCCTGTCTTGGAACTAGCTCTTGTTGAACAGGCTGATCTCGAACTCACAGAGATCCGCCTGCCTATGCTTCCTGAGTGCTGGGATTAAAGGTGTGCACCACCACTGCCTAGCTGTGTAAGCTTTATTTTTAAATCAGGGTAACTTTTTGTTGAGGCAGGGTTTTGCTATGTAGCCCTACCTGGCTAAAATAACCATTCCTTCCTTAATTGTATCTTAATATCTTTCAACTTCATATATAAATTAAAATAGTTGCTCTAGCTGAGCAGTTGTGGCACATATGATTAATCCCAGCACTCAGGAGGCAGAGGCAGGCAGATCTTTGTGAGTTTGAGGCCAACCTGGTCTATAAAGCGAGTTCTAGTACAGCCAGGGCTATTACACACTGAGAAATCCTGTCTCAAATAAATAAATAAATAGATAGGTAGGTAGATAAATAAATAAATAAATAGATATATAGATAAATAGCAAATAGTTGCCCTAGCCAGGCAGTGGTGTACACACTTTGAATTCCAGGGAGGCAGAGTAGCAGGATCTCTGAATTCAAGGTAGTCTGGTTTGCATAATGAGTTCTGGGACAGTCAGGGCTATCTAGAGAGACACTGTGTCCAAAAAAAAAAAAAAAAAAAAAAAAACCAAGATATTTTAGAGGAGCTTGCAGTGTATGTGTATGGTTATTTTAGAGGACCAGTGGGAGAGCTCAGTGAGCAGAGACACTTTCAGCGCAAGCCTGGTGACCTAACTTTGCTCCCCAGAACCTACAAAAAGGTGGATGGAGAGAAGCAACTCCACAGCATTGTCCTCTGGCTACACTTACACCAGGGCACCCGTGCACACACTCCAGTAATAAGTAAAAATAGGAAAAATAACTTTTAAAATCTAGTTTGTAAGCCAGGTGTGGGGGCTCACATCAGTAATCCTAGCGCTTGTGAGTAGGGGGCAGGCAGTTCTGGAGTGGAAGGATAGCCTCAGCCACACTGGGTTCAAGACCATTGTGGGCTTTAATACCTGAGACTATCTCAAACAAACAACCCAGAGGCTGGAGAGCTGTCTTGTTAGTTACACGATCTCGCTGCTCTAGGAGAGGACCCAAGTTCTATTCTCAGCACCCACATCAGGCAGTTCACAGCTGCGTGTAACTCCAGCTCCAGGGGTCCTCCCCAGGCACCTTCACCTGCATGCACATGCTAACATACGCATAAATAAAATAAAATCTTTAAATAAATAAAACCACCAATATTTGAAAGTCTAATTTCTGATGCAGTTTCTGTGTTTTTGAGTCAGGGTCTCACTCTGTAGCCCAGGCTGACCTGGAAGTTGGATAACCTCTGCAGTACTGCTTCCCAAAGCTAGGATTTCAGGTATGAGCCATCGTGCCTGTCTTAGTGATGGTTCTGAGTCTGTTCTCACCTTGGGTCCCATAGACTACCAGCTGATAGCTTGATGATGGCATTTCCTTACACGACCAGCAGGAAGAGCCCTTGAGTCAGGAAAGTTCCTGCTTATGAACTGTAGCCCTTGGGCTGGGCTTCACATTGTCTTTGGTGTTAACACACCCCATTATCCAAGGTCTTGGGAAGGAGGTCCTGTGATTGGTTTTCATCCTTTACCCTGCACTTATCTTTGACTTCTTATTGGTGAACACAAGAAGAAAAAAAAAGTAGTGGAAGAAAGAGAAGAAATGAAAAAAAAAAACAAAAAACCAGATGTCACCATTAGTGAGGTGTTCGCTGACTACTCTCTCCAAGTATGAGCTCAACTACCTTATCTGCCTGGAGTTATTCCAGGCTTTAATTTGGAAAATGTGTGGTAGACTGGGCCAAAAGAAGTGTAACAGAGTCCCATCCCCTCTCCGGAGAATGTGTGCACGCAGGTCAGAGTCATGCATTGCCAAACTCGGGCCTTTTCTAAAAGCACAGAGCGATGGGGATGGAGATGTGCGTGCTGGTTGACAGGTCAGGTGGCTGGGCTGGCCATCTCCTTTGGGAAATGTTTGCATTCTTTTCATGACAGCCTTCAGAGTGCAGATAGTGTCCTGGTGGGTGTTGGGTTACTGTTGGAGGGGGGGCTCCTGAGGATCCCGGGCCACTTTGTCCTTTGTAAGGAACTGCAGCAGCTCCACACTTAATTCACAGCTTGGAGCCAGAGTGACTGGGGTCTCGTTTGTTCACCTTGTTTCTAGGGTCCTCATAAGCGAACTAGCAGCACCCCAGAAACCCCCCTAATGAAAAGGAGTGTCTCTACTCGTAGCCCGCATCAGCTTCTCTCCCCATCAAGTTTCTCCCCAAGGTATGTATCATAATCGATCCAAGTGCAGAGAAAGCTGCGCCTTTCTCTGTGGACAAGGCGAATTGCAAGTAACTTATTAACTGCCCAAGGAGTGGGCCGTCCGCTGCAAACTAGCTGGAAAACCCGTGGTTCTCCGCCTTGTGGAAAGTTACTGTTCTGTTTAGTAATTACGGAAACTTGCTTTCCACCCACTTCTCTGGGGCTCATTTCCTAGATGGGGAACTGATATCTCCTATTGAAAACAGCCTGGCTATTCAGAAACTCAGGCATCTGGCGCGTCTGGTCAGTCAAGGCAAATAGGCTCTCACCTGCTCCTACTCGTTTGCGTTTGCTTGGGTTTCCTTTTGTGATCTGAAGTATTTTTAAAGGAGAAGTATGTGCCTTTGTTCACAGCATTGCGTAACCTGTCGTCCCATGCTTAGGTGACAGCTGACTTGGGAGCGTTTTTCTCATCGCTGCACCTTTGCCTTCACAGGCTCAGTTGATCTTCCTCATGGCTGCCACCACTGTCCAGAAAGGTGCAGAGATCACGTGTGACTCTGAAATCCATAAGTGATAGGTCTCCATTAGAGAAACCCATGGATGGGTGCTCGGCTGAGGAGACGTGATTATAGAGCTCTCCCATCAGGATGGGGCTCAGGAACAGCATGTCAGCCATTTAGGGAACTACCAGCCTCTGGGTCCTTCTAAACCAACTAGAGTGAAGGTTTCTCGGTTCTCTCACTTTAAAGAGTCAGTGACGGGCTGGAGAGACTTGACTACTCTTGCAGGGAACCCAAGCTTGGTTCTCAGCCTCCACATTGTTTCTCCAGTTCCATTAATCCACGAGCTCTCTGCCTCTGCAAATACCAGGCACGCAGATGGTGCACATTCAGGCAAAATACTCAGTGCATATAGAATACAGATCTTAAAAAACAGAGGGGCAGTGACTGAAGACTCTATGGTTATTGACCATGGGTGGTTATTGAATCCTCAAGGACAGTTCGATGTCACTGTGGTCCACCTGGTTTGGAGAGATCTCAAAAGTTCCCAAAGTAAACTTTCATGACTTAAACAGGTGCCTCTGAAACCTACGAGGGTTCAGATAGTTGTTGCAGAGCCAAGGTGGGAGTTAGCCTCTCTAAGCAGGAAGGTCTTTAAATCTGTTTCTGTGGCCATGTTTATGGCTGTCCCCTGTGAGCATCTGATGATGCTGGAGGGCTGCTGTGATACATGCCCCTTCACGGGTGGAGCCCAGAGGAACTGGTCACTTCCCTGCCTGGTCATTTGTTTAATGTACACTTAAGAAAGTTGACATCAGAGACTCGTTTTGTAATTTGTGAAAGCAGCCTGTAAATGATGTAGGTAAAGGCAGCCCTGGAGATAAAGGTAATGAGCCAAGCTCGTTCTCTGTAGCTCTTCTGCAAAGGAGGGATGTTGGCAGCAGTTCCGACCATGCACCTTGGGAAGTGAGCTCCTACAGAGTTAGTGTGCCAAGTGTAGTGTGTTTCTAGACCTTTCCGTAAGTAGTGTTCAGAAGCTTCAACTACCAGCCTCCAAGTATTTGTGGATTTCCCGCTCTGATTTGTCAATCAGAGTGGGCACAGAATTGGCCAGTGCAGCCTTGGAGTGAGGGTAAGGGGTGCTTGCTCCCTTTTAACCGTTCGTTCATTTGGTTGACCTTTATTTTTAGTGTCATTTGTTCTCTGAACTAACTGTACTGTGAGGTTTTTATTTATCTATCTATTTATTTATTTATTTTTGAGGTAGGATCTTATGTAGCTTAGGCTGGCCTCAAACTTGGCTGAGATTGGCCATGAGGTCCTGATCCTGCCTTGGATTTCTGAGTGCTAGGATTGCCGATGTGTGCCACCATGCCTGGATTCAGCTGTATGCAGGTGTTTGTATTTGCTCAGCAATCTCTGACCCAGTCACTGTTTCAGGATCAAATGATGGGTTGGTAACCATGGGTGACTCACAAGAAGAAAGGAAAATAGTTGAAACTTGCCCGTGCGGTCACTTCAGAGTGCCTTTTGTTTTGCTTCATTTAGTGTTTATATGTTTTTGTCTTTAAACTTGTAAACTTTTGTTTTCTGGTGTTCCTCGGGGCCTCATTCCCAGAATTCCTGAAAGGTCAGAGTACTCGCAGTCCCTCCACGTTGATTAGATCTTTAAGACAGTTTGCTTTTTCTCCAGTCCTCCCAGCCTCGCCTCCTCATGTTCCTTTCTCAGGTACAGCAGTAATAATTCACTAGTCCATTCTGTTCCCGGCAGTGCTGCCCCTTCCCAGAAATACAGCTCCAGAACCAACCGAGGAGAAGTGGTCACCACCTTTGGCTCAGTACAGGGCGTGTCTTGGTCCGGGAGAGGAGGCTCTGGAAGCGTCAGCCTGAAGGTCATAGGGTACCCGGAGCCACTCACAAGCAGCTACAAATCCATGTTTCAGCAGCTCTCTGATATTCGTGAAGGTAACTGGTTTCCTCTGGGACAGTTGAGTGGGTTTAAAGCCCATGGAGGACTGAGAGAAGTGAAGTAACAAAGCCTGGCTCAGCTGGTGGAATAGTTCCCTGGTGGCCTTTGATTCCAGAAGTTGGTCAGTGTTCCTATGGCTGCTCTTTCAGTGAAGGGGAAGGATGCTGGGTGATGCTGTAATTTCCCTAGTTGTATCACTTCACTGAAAAAGGCGCACAGCCACCTGTGAAGGAGCTCAGCTCTTGAGTTGTGAACACTCGCCGCTGCTTCCTTGAAAACCAAATTAGTAATCATGTCTAAAGGTGGCCTGAGGTTCAGACTGGACAGATGTCCGTGTTCCTCCATCCTGTAGGATGATTGTGATCCTGGACGGTGTGCTCTGTCTTTTCGTGCCGAGGGAATTTCTTACTGACAGCACTGTGTCGCCTTTGGGTTGCAGTTCTGACCTGTAAGATAGAAGAGCTTGGCAGTGAACTGAAGGAGCATTACAAGATTGAGGCTTTTACTCCTCTTCTAGAGCCAGCACAGGTAAGAGCCGTCTGAAGAGTTCTCACTAATTACCACTACTCTAATTCCTGATGAAACCATGCTGACTTTGAACTGAGAAGCCTGCCAGTGTCTGCCTCGAGTGCATGTGCCACCACATCCGTCTCAGACGATCACGACTCTCGGGAGTCAGTGAAGGAGCTCATCTCCACTCTCCAGTGTTCTGGTTCATCAGCCTTGGTTGGCTCTGGTGAAAACGGGTCCCTCTAAAAAAACACACGTGATCCCCGCTGTGTCGCCAGACTTCCTTTCCTCCCTTGTGGACTGGGTCTTATACACATGCAAAGATTGAAACCTTTCTCATTGGTGGAGGACATTGCCTCTGAAGAGCCCCTGCCTGTAGAAGTGTCTGGGTTTGCCAGATGAGAGCAGGAGGCTGAAAATTATCTCATTGCCTGGACGATTCCTCTGGTTTGAGCGCTGACGCAGATCGGTGGCTAGAGTGACATCATGCTTTAGTTCTGGTCCTGGTACTTTCTCTGGAGCATTGCTAGCCTAAGAGATGTGTTCTATATAATCCTTGATTGAGTGTGCCTTTGTCCTCTGTTTGCCTCCAGGGAAAAGCAACCATACATAAAATTTTGTTCTTAGCTGGGTAATGGTAATGCATGCCTTTACTCCCAGCACTCAGGAGGCAGAGGCAGGTGGAATTCTGAGTTTGAGGTCAGCCTGGTCTACAAAGCTAGTTCCAAGACAGCCAGGACTGCTACACAGAGAAACCCTGTCTTGAAAAAAAAAGAAAAGAAAAAATCTTTGTCCTGTAGGAAGTTTTGGAGAAATTGACAGGAAGTGTGGGGGCAGGGCCACACATGAGGGAAAGATTAGACGTACTCAGTTTGCTCTCAAGAGTGGAAGCCCTACACAGGAAGCCGTTAGAGATTTCAGTTCCGTCTATGAAGAGCTTCCTGTGGAAGTGGTAAAGTGATGTCCCACATGGTGTCTGGGTACTTGGGAGCCCGAGGCAGGAGGATTGAGAGTTCCAAGATAGACTGACTATGTTATGTAGCAAAACCCTGTGGAGAGGCAGGAGCATGCAGGTACCAGGAGGTACTCTAGCATGGCTGAGGATTTGGCTCTGGAGCCAACTTCTGGTCTTCAGTCCCAGCTTCACTGTTGTTTGATCTTAATGAAGTTAATTATATGGCCCCGCCGCTTGTTCCTGGGTGTAGCCAGAGCTACGGTGGTTGTGAGGGTTGAATGAGTTAATACATGTCAGCTGAGAACAGTGTGTGGCAGACTCAGTGAATGTGATCTATTAATAGCTGTGGTTTGCCAAAAGTGCTGCGGGCTGCAGGGCTTGGGATTCTCCAAGACTGGGAATGCTCACATTCAGGCAGCCTCTCCCAGCACACCTGGTAGACAGGAGGTGGACTAGACACCCCTGAAGGGTCCTTCCATTCTTAATGGTGATTCTGGGATCACCTCCCAAAACATTTCATTTGGGGTCTCGCTGTGCCATCATTCTTGTGTTACTCTCTTTCTTTGGTAGGAGCCTGTCATCCTGCTGGGCCAGATTGGATGTGACAGCAATGGGAAGCTGAACAGCAAGTCAGTGATTCTCGAGGGAGACCGGGAACACTCCTCGGGCACTCAGATTCCAGTGGATCTGTCCGACCTCAAGGAATATTCTCTCTTTCCTGGGCAGGTGAGACTGCGGAGCCTCTGGGATGCAGACCTGAGAGCTTGGTTTCCATCTCTGTTACTGTGAGATTGGGTTGTATAGGGCCACTGTCTTAGGAACTGTTTTTTCCTCTCCTTGGTCCAACCTTAGCCCTGAGTCCAACTGCTCAGGTTCAGATCCCAGCTCCACCTCATGAGGTATGTGGCTGTGGGTAAGGTACCAGGGAGTCTTCATCCACAAAATGAAATACAAATTCTTACTTTCTGGGATTGTTGTGAGAATCAGGCCGTTTGTACAAAGCGTAATTGTGACTGATAGATCCCCCTTCGTTTATTCTCTCGAAAATGCCAGGATCATAATTACCACAGGTAGCATATCTCAGACGCTCATTTATCTCTCCTGGTCAGCGGTCTTGTGTTTCTTGTCTTTCAGGTTGTCATTATGGAAGGATTCAACACCACTGGTAGAAGACTTACTGCCACCAAACTCTATGAGGTACAGGATGGGCCCTCTGCCAGTCCACGCTTGCTCCAGGCTCAGTATACTTAGTTCTGGTGGAGGAAACTAGTCTTTTTCAGTCTCTGAATGTTTGCTAGTAGCTTTTGTTTCTAGACTTGGAACTCACTTCCAAGCTGTAACTTAGCAAACTGTTTAGAGAGCCAAGCAGCAGATGTTTTAGACCATAAGGTCACACATGTGTCTGTATCATTATAGTGCCAATGCAGCCATAGGCCACACATAAACAAATGACTCTGGGGAAGTCCCATCAAAACTTCATGTACAAAAATGGCTGCAGTTGCTGGGTGGGGTGGCACATGCCCTTAATCCTAGCACTTGGTACGTAGAGGTAGGCGGATCTCTGAGTGAGGACAGTTTGATCTACAGAGTGAGTTCCAGCACAATGATACACAAAGAAACACTGTCTCGAAAAAAACAAAAAATAATGGCTGCAGTCAAATTTGGCCTCAAGCTGTAGCTTACTTATCTCTACTTTCAACTAAGGTCCTTACAGATTTCCATAGGATGCCAGGAAAAGTAGTGAACTCCTTTCTTCCACCCTTATCCAGCATGCCAGTGACACAGTCACCCACTTTACATGGGATGGCCAAGTGTTTTGTGTTTTCCCATTGCCTGGTCTGCTTAGTCATGGTGAGCTAGAAAAGTGGCAGAATCTGGGCTCTACCTGTGATTCTCAAGAGCAAGGCAGAGATATGTCCTCTCTCCTTGCTTCTCACAATCCTCCCACTGCACCTGCAAACACGCGGAGTCATCCATTACCAGAGCGATGGCGGGAACAAGACCTCAGCTGGGCTCTTTCTGTTCCAGGGTGTGCCACTTCCATTCCATGAGCCCACTGAAGAGGATGGAGGTAAGTTTTGGTTCAATTTTTTTTCTTGCCAACAATGGGGGTGATAGACAAAGTCCCAGACAAAGTTGCCCATGTTCAAGGAAGCAACAGAAGCTGTGTGGGAGAGGCATGCAGAACAGTAAGACCACAGCTAATCAGTGAACTTACAGGCCTTTTCTGCAAGAGCCACTAGGAGGTCCGAACCTCCTGAGCACCGACAGTGGCATTATCTAGGCTCTGGTGATAAAGTAAACACCTGTAATCCGGATGCTAACAAGCATGTGAAGGCACTTGGAAAGGGGAAATGATATACACATTATAACTCAAACTGGGTGTCCCTGATAGAATCCTGGAGGAGAAAGGGACACTGTTGGAAAACCTGGTTTAGTCAGCAGTTAACATACTGTTAATCCCAACAAATGTGCTATATTATAGGAAATGTTCATGTTAGGGGGCTCTGGGAAAAGACAGAATTCTGTGCTCTCTTTGCAAGTTTGTACAATTCTATAGTCATTCCACAATAAGGGTGTCATTTGAAGAAATAGTTTCTGGCCAGACATACTAGTGCACGCCTTTAATCCCAGCACCCAAGAGGCAGAAGCAGGTAAGAGGCAGAAGCAGGTAGGTTCCAGCATTCAAGTCTAGCCTGGTCTACATAGGGAGTTCCAGGCCAGCCAAGGCTACATAGCATGACTCTATCTTTTTAAAAAAGAAGACGGTCCAGTTGGTGGTGGCACACACCTTTAATCCCAGCACTGCTGAAGCAAAGGCAGGCAGACCTCTGAGATCAAGGCTAGCCTAGTCTACAGGGTGAGTTCCAGGATAGCCAGGGCTACACAGAGAAACGCCGTCTTAGGGAAAGGGGAAGGGGATTGCAGAACAAGTGACCTGGATGGGAAAAAGCAAGATAATAAAAAAATATTTGTGAGCTGGGCAGTGAAGATGCATGCCTTTAATCCCAGCATTTGGGAGGCAGAGGTGGAGGCTGGCCTGGTCTACAGAACGATTTCCAGGACAGGCATCAAAGCTACAGAGAAACCCTATCTCAAAAAAACTAAAAAATAAAAAATATATTTTTTTTAAGTTAACAAACTTTGTTTTAAAATTCTCATAAACTGGGGTGGCGGTGTTGCTGGGTAGGTAACACATGTACAGCATATGTGAGGCTCTGGCTTTGATCCCCTGCTGCCACAAATGAAAAAGAGGATGGGAGTTGGAGAGGTGGCTGAGTGGTTAAGAGCAGTAGCTGCTCTTCCAAAGGTCCTGAGTTCAATTCCCAGCACCCACATGGTGACTCACAGCCATCTCTAGTGGGATCTGTTGCCTTGTTCTGTCTGATGCCATCATCTCTCACACAGGCATACGTGCAATAGAATATTTTTTAACAAAAAAGAGGAGGGGAAAGGAAAGTATTTCTAAACACTTTGTAAGCAGAGTAGAACAAACACCAGGAAAGATTTCAATAAATGCCAGTGCTGGCATACTGCCAGTACCCCACACACGTTGATGGCATATGAAGTCATTCTTAGATGTCCTGGAGTCAACTCATGGCATTGTACGTAGTCTCAAAAACTATCTCTGTGGGGATAAAGATAGGTTCTTCCTGGTCTCAGTCCTGAGGCAGCCTGAATATCACTTCCATGATCCGGCCTATGAATATGTTACTTTACATGGTCTGAGTAGCGTGGTAGTGTGCACCATTAGTCTTAGTACTTAGGAAGCAGAGGCAGGGAGATCTTTGTACGTTCAAGTCAAGCCTGGTTTACGTAATGAATCTTTTGGACGGGATTATACAGATGGGTTGAGTGCAACCACATGGGTCCTTATGCACATAGATGGCAGAAGGATCAGAGTCGGGACAGAAACCTCAGACCACTGACTTTCGCTTCAAATCTGTCAGAGCCCTGCTGACACCGTGACCGCTACACTACGGTGACCATAGCTGTAGACAATAAATTGCTTTAGCTTTTTTTTATTTTTATTATTGTAAGATCTATTTTGTTTGTTTGTTTTTATGTGTGTTGTGTATGGATATGTTCACTTGTGAGTTCTGGTACCTATGAAGGCCAGAAGAGGGTGTTGGGTCCCCAGGGCAACAGTTATAGGCAGTTGTGAGCTGCCTGATGTGGGTGCTGTGAACTGAACTTGGGTCCCCAAGAACAATAGCAAGCACTCTTAACTGCTGAGCCATCTCTCAATCCCTAAAATAATTTCTTACAGAACCAGTATGAAAGTAATTGCTACATATTAGAAAATTTGAGGGATTTTGGAGGTTTGTTGTATAAGCTACAGGAGCTAGCTCAGACTGACTTTAAAAACTCAAATCCAGATAGTTCTCAGGCTGTACGGAGGGGGGGCACAAGCCTCGCAGCTTTAGTGTCCAGGTAGCATGAGATTCCAGCAGAGTCGCCAGTGTCTGGCCCTCCAACAGCCTGTCTTCTGAGCCTTCCTTCTCCCACATCCTCCCACGGCACTGAACCCACAGATGGTCCTACTTTCTGCACAGTGTGAGCACATGTCACCTTGATGGAATATTCCTCACTGACACACTGCTCACACTGCCCAGTTTTTACTTGGTTCACTGTTCCTGGGGAGGGATGAGGGCCTCACCTTCAGTCCTCAGACCTGCACTCATGGGACTTAATGTGCATTTTCCTGCCCTTCATTCTCTCTCCGTCCAATATCAGTTTTCTTCTTTCTCCTCATGACCTTGCAATGCCTTCTGTCTCAGATTTTGAGCAAACTATGGTTTTAGTTGCCTGTGGGCCTTATACCACCTCTGACAGCATCACATACGACCCCCTGCTTGATCTGATCACCATCATCAACCATGACCGGCCAGATGTCTGCATCCTGGTAGGTCCCCTGGGTAGTGGTATGCAGGGAGGCTGTAGGGGTGGGAATGAGTCAGCCTTGGAAAGGGTTGTAATGCTATTCTAAGTTTTTAAGAAACATTGATCTGTCTCATTTTACAAAGATGTTTTATTTTTAACTCTTTCCTTATTTTTGGTGTTTTTTGTTGTTCTTTTGTTTTGAGATGGGGGTCTCACTACATAGCCCTGACTATGTAGACCAGGTTGGTCTCAAACTCACAGAGATCTGTCTGTCTTTGCCTCTCAAGTGCTGGAATTTTTTAATTCTCAATCTGTACCTCTGGAGGTATATACATAATCCATAGCCATCACTAAGTCCTGAGGGCCAGCAGTATTGTCTTCTTCCCTGACTTTACAGCATTCTTGCTCTGTCTTGGTACTCTGAGCCTAATCTAATCTCTTTTTATGGTAACATAGTGGTCTGTTGTTCTTGCTAGGTGTAAAAAAACAGAAGAGAGCCCAGTGTCATTTGGGGCAGCCACAGGGGTTTTAGGGCCCTGGGAAGCCCCCTGAGGGAACAGGATTCAGATGCTCCTTGGTCCATCTGCCACCTTCCCAGGCTCTCCAGGCAACCTTGGAGGGACAGGTGTACCAGGAAGGGAACTGCTTTTAGACAGTTTGTCTAAAAGCCTTTGCAGACCTGGAAGATTCTGATTTGTTCTTTGGTGCTTTTGTTTCCCCACCTCTGCTCATTTGCAGTTTGGACCTTTCCTGGATGCTAAACATGAGCAGGTGGAGGTAAGTGCCTGGGGAGGGAAGGGAAGGGAGGGGCTGAGTGCCTGCACTCAGCCTAGACTCTGAGTTTCCTCTTTTGGAGTTTATGTCTGCAGCAGGCTTCCATCAACCCTATGGCTAACGAGGGAAACTTTGTCCCTGGCCATATTCATTAAATACTTTGAACTTGAAGGCTCTATTCCACTAGTACGTAAGACCATCTAGAAGCCAGGGAGGGAATTGGAAATAGGTGGTTCTTTTGTCTACCCCAAGTCACTACTTAGATGCAAAAATAGTAACAAAAGCAGATGGACTTCAGCCGTGGGTCTGGCGGTCTGGTCTCAGTGCCCATGAAACTGACATACTAGCCTCTTCACACAAGAGGCAGGTTCTGTGGAATCCTTTATTTGGCATTGCCCAAGCTCACAGCTCTTGTCACAGGTCCTCTAATACATAAATCACAGTTCTTCCTAGGACCTTGGTCTAGGGCCTGGGCTTCCTGCCCTTTGTTTGCTGGGTATTTCACCTCCATAAACAAGATTTCAATGCAGGCTTCATCCTAGACTATTCAGTGTACATGCAAGAGAATTAATTATTCCCTTATGTAGACACAGCTTCTTGCAGATGAGCAGCCCACCCCACCCCCATGCCTGGCTCCATCTTTCTCATCGTCACATCTCTGTCCACTCCATGTCCCTCGGGGTCATCCTGCAAGCCTTGGCACGTCTCCAAGTGCAGCTCCTTTCCTTTCTTGCAGAACTGTCGGCTGACAAGCCCATTTGAAGACGTTTTCAAGCAGTGCCTGAGAACCGTTATCGAAGGAACAAGAAGGTCAGTGTTCCAGATGGAGGCCAGACCTGGAGCTTTCTAGGTTCTTCCAGGACATGCCAGTAGGAAACTGAAGCTGCTTGGACCATGTTTGTTCCCATCCGTTCTGTCCTTTTGGACTTAGAGATCAGATAGAGCCCTTGAACTCCTGTGCTCAGTGGGTAAACAGGCGTCTTTGTAAGTCAGATAAACAAACTTGGAAGGACAAACTTCAAACTTCACACACTCTCATCCTTCCTTCGGTCTTTCTCTTTACTTCCTTTTCTCACTTCCCCTTGTGTAAACTGTTACTCCATGGGAATATTCCCAGGGTGGTTTGGGGAAGAATTTGATTGGCAGTGAAATTCTAAGAGGCCCCAAGCCTCTCATTGCATGAAGGGAATGTTTTGGGGTAAACCCAACTTTCTTCCCTGAGTCAGTGCTTCCCAATGGTGGTGAATGGCCGCCAAGGGCTAGAGTGATGGACGGAGAGACTCCAGTGAGGGTGGATCCTGAATCCTCAACCTAGTTCAGAAGACAGGACTGAAAGGCCACAACACTGACATAAGCACTGTGGTTCTAGTGTGTGCGGGCCTCCCAGTCCCAGGAAGAGTTTAGAACTAGCTGCTGAGAGTCATCAGGGAACTGGCCCCTCAGCCAAGTCAGAAAGAAAATGTCGTAGTGGACAGTCTCCTGGGATTTGCTGCCTGTTGCTGAACTCATAATAAACAAACATTCCTGAGGCCGAGATTTAAAAACAGGCCTGTAACAAAAGTGGTTTTTAAAGGTCTTCCTTCCGCCTTCAGTCCTGAGAATAGATCCCAGGTTGATTAGTTGTAATACAACCTGCTGGCATCAGGCCTGGAGCCGGGAGACTTGAGCCCTCAGCTGCTTCCATTCCCCTCCCCTCTCGAGTGGAGGGTTACATATACCTTCCCTCTTCTCACAGGTTTGTTAGAGCCTCAACTGAGTTCATGAAACCAGGGAAATGCTGAGGTCCTCGAGAGATAAACCCCTAGCCTCCCAAAGCAGGGACAAGCCCTGGAGCAGCACCCAGCACTGACTGGTGCTTCCAACATGAGTTTGGGTTCTGATTTTGGTTCCTCATCCCATGTGCTATTGACAGCAGTGATACAAACAAAGAATAGACCAAGCATTGTTACCCTGGGAGCCAGTACCCAGCACCACCAGGCACTTTCATCTGTGGCTAGTGTGAGCTGCAAAGCAGGGCCGCAGCCCCACCCAGCCAGAGCTGTATATAAATGGTGCTAGGTCAGAAATGCAGAGCACCATGCTCCCGGTAGAACTCAGCAGATGTGAGTGAGGCCCTGGTAGCAGCAGAATGCCCTGGTGCACCTCTCTGCTCAAGAGACAGCAATGAGACACTCCCACCATCTGATGTATGAAGTTGTGCAATACTGCACATAGTTGAAATTTTCTTCCTGGCCCCTCCCCCTGTAACCAGCTCCAAGCCTTGAGCAGAGGCTGCTTTCTCCTTAACCGTTGCTCTTCTGAAGCCAGTCCTGAACAGCAGTCCGGTCCCGTGAAGACAAACAGCTTAGCCTCAGTCCTTTTACCTTCAGATTTCCACTCCTGGAGACCTGGAGCATACTTTCCGCTCGCTCTCTGGCTTGTTCACCAGATTTGAGCACCCACATAGTGGACTTGGACAATGGCAGCGAACTTGGTGTCGAAGAGACTGAATGATATGGAAAGTACCTTTCCCAAGATTATGATGCCCAATTACAGTGGACCAGTCCCCAGTGTCTGGTCATATGTTCAAAGTCCCTGTGCAGGGTTGGAAAGATGGCTCAGCAGTTAAGAACTATTATTGCTTTAGCTGGTGGTGCTGGCACAGGCCTTTAACCCCAGCATTTGGGAGGTGGAAAAAGGCGGATCTCTGAGCTCGAGGCCAGCCTAGTCTATAGAGTTCCAGGACAGCCAGGGCTGTTACACAGAGAAACCCTGTCTTGAAAAGACAAAAAAAAGAAAGGAAAAAGAAGTATTGCTGCTGTTACAGAGGGCTGGAAGTGGCCTCCATCACCCACATCAAGCTGCTCGCAGCCCCCTGTAACTCCAGCTCCGGGAATCTATATCCGTCCCACGGTTTAAGCACAAGAAGGAAGCGACTACAAGTGAGAGCTGTTGGCTGGCGCCAGGCTTGCCCTCACAGCAGCAGTTGATGCCTGCTTGGTTTACAGTGGCCCTTCTGCCAACGATAGACAAGGGAGCCAAAGAACAGGTTTGCCCTTTTCTCTTTTGTGTGGTTGTAGAAACAGTTGGCCCTTGGAACCACAGCTTTTTTTCTCTGCTCCATGTTGTAACCCTAGGGGCTCTCCTGTCCCCATCAAAGGAACGGCTGCCTCTGCTGTTGCTGTGCGGTATTTCTTTGACATTAGTTTCCTGAGGAGTAGAAACAGTGTGACTTCCTGAAGTGAGTGGGGAGTGAGTGTCCCTCCAACAGTCTGTCTTCAGTGTCCAGTAGACCTAGCTAGCCCTTTGCTGCCTGAACAGTTTGGTTTGAGGGGCAGCCTTGGGATCTGGCCTCACTTGTTTGACCTGAGCCGTGTCTGCAGAGAACCGTGTTGTCCACAAGCCACCTATACCCGTAGAGTGCAGTAAAGCTTACGCTCAGTCCAGTCCCGAGCCTTCCTCCTTAACAGGGTCTCACTCTAGTTCAGGCTAGCCTCAAACTCGGAACAGCCCTCTCTGACCTCCCCGGGGCTGGGGTTGCCAGTGTGTGTCCATGCCCAGCTCTAGATCTTAGTTCCCTCCCTTTTCCCACCAGACAAGAGTTCCCCTCTGTAGTGGGAAGCCACACAAAGCAAGGGACTGTGTGTCCTGAGCTATATGGACCAGCTCCAGTTGGACATGTGTATGTGACAGCAGATTGCCTTTCCCTCGCAGGGGCCCTGGGAGACAGTGTCTGCTCAGAGTGGAATGCCGCCCAGGTCTTCCTGGAGGGCTGCTGAATGAAGGACATGCTTACACCTTTAGCCTGTGGCCCAGTTCTGCTGACTCATCTCTTGTTCCTCTTGTGCTTGTGTTTTGACAAAGCAGCTCCGGCTCCCACCTTGTCTTTGTCCCGTCTCTGAGGGACGTGCATCACGAACCAGTATACCCACAGCCACCTTTTACCTTCTCTGAGCTGCCTCGAGAGGACAAAAAGGTACCAGTGAGCAGCGGTGGGGTGAAGACGGCCCTGTGGGGAGGCTCTCTAGCTCTTATATGCAGATGTTCATGTCAGCGGCTTCTCATTTCAGCGCGTGCAGTTTGTGTCGGAGCCCTGCAGCCTCTCCATAAATGGAGTGATGTTTGGCTTGACATCCACAGACCTGCTGTTCCACATCGGGGCCGAGGAGATCTGTAGGTAAGAAACATTCCTTGGCAGCCACAGACACCTGGCTCCTGACGCCACCAAGACGCCGCCCCCCACCACATCATGCCACTTGGCAGCCTTGACAAGAAGCCGTGAGAGCCACACTTTATACCAAAAACTTAGGCCTTTCCTTGTCTGCTGAAGGTAGCAGTCAGATAAATGTATTTGTTACTGTCACGAGTTTGCCATGTCTGAGACCCCAAAGAACCCAGTCTGTTGTGTCTACATGAAACACGAGGCAATGGAATCCATATTTTTGGCTCCAGTCCCTTTTTCTTTACCATCTCGTTTGTGACCTGAGTGCTCGAGTGTCCTCTGTGGACTTACCGTGATTTATCAGGCAGTGAATTTATCAGGCAGAACCAGACACTGCCGGACCTGGTGTCTAGGCTTGGCAGTCAGTTCTTCCGTCAAAGCTTCCTTGCCAGGAGAAGGATGAGCTGGAAGTTCAGTGGGTGTGTGCTTTGGCTGTGGTGTGATCTTTGAGGTTGCCTGGCTGTGTGTGGCTTCATGGTGCAGAGAATGTGTCCTCTTGTACAAGATGGTGCAGCTCCAGCGCTGAGGCCTCCTATATCCTGATTCCTGGGATTCTTCTTTCCCTCTAAGCCCCATGCCCTGCTGCCCTGTCCTGGAAAAGAGCCAGCCGCTTACAGTGTGTCTCTACGCTTCCCCCGTAGCTGTGTCCTTGCTGCTTAGCTTCTCTCTGGTTGGCTTGAGTCCTTGGGTCCTCCCTGAAGAGGACTGACTGAGAAACCTGGTTCTGCCCTTCTTTCTAGCTCTTCTGGGACTTCAGACAGATTCAGCCGAATCCTCAAGCATATCCTAACACAGAGAAGGTGAGCGTGCCAGCCCATAAACATGGGCAGTGTGGAGACTGGGAGTGGGGCCTCCCCGGGTTCCTGCATTGACTGCTACTAGAGTCTCTTTCATCTCTGCAGCTACTACCCACTCTACCCGCCCCACGAGGACATGGCCATAGACTATGAGAATTTCTATACCTACGCCCAGCTTCCAGTCACCCCTGATGTCTTCATAGTACCATCGGAGCTGAGGTACTTCGTGAAGGTAGGTTTGAACTGGCTTTTTTGCAGAGACATCAGAACCTGACTTTTCCTTCCAGATTACCTGGCACTTGCTCGAGCTGGGCCTACTTAATGGGACAGTGTCCGCTTGGGGCCAGCACAAGGGCTGATTGTTGGGCTCGTGGGGTAACAAATAGTCTAAGCATGGAATGAAGCAGGAACAAGCCACATGTACCCACCTGAGTGGAGCCTAGGTGTCAAGGAGTGAGGACTTTAGGCCATGTCAAGGTGACCTGGGAAGATGTTGCCTGCCTGCCTTTCCCTGAGTTCTGCTCTGACCTCCCCATGAGCTCAGCTAGTAGTACCTTGAAGAGGCTCTTGATCTGATCCACACACTCAGCCGCCTCAGGCTGGAGTCCCTGGCAGGGAGTCTACCACACCAGTTTTTTAAAGCTGGGTCCAGTCCAGTCTTAAACAGTGGTTTGTCTGCCTCTCAAGGGAAGGAGTCTTTGAGGCGGCTAGGTCTGTGCAGCCCGGGATGTCCTGGGGCTCTCACTTTCCTGCCTCGTCCTCCTGAGTGCTGAGATTACTGTGACGCCCACTCAACTCCTAAGTCTTTCTTCATGTGGAAGAAGAAGAAACTGTTGGGATCAGTTTCTTCCCCAAACATAGGAACTCCTTATCTGCCAGGTCTTCTTGGCGTTCTCTGTTCTGCCCTAGAGAGTCTCTAGTTACAAGTGAACACATTTGCCTGAGTGGTTGCCTTCGTTTCTGTTTTCTAAATCTTGGTGGAAGATTCTGACAATGTCACACCCAGTTGAGAGCCTCCAAACCCAGTGTTCTTTCTTTCCCAGGACATCCTTGGCTGTGTCTGTATGAATCCTGGGCGACTCACCAAAGGACAAGTGGGTGGCACCTTCGGCCGCCTCTACCTCAGGAGGCAGCCCGGGGCCACGGACAGTAAGGGCAGGCAGGGCCTGAGTGTGGCCGCGCAGGTCGTCAGAATCTGAGTCTTCAGCCTAGGTCGTGTGGCCTCACAGACACCAAGAGCCCAGGTACGACCCTCTGATGACCAGACTATTGGCGCCCCTGACAAGGATAGGGACAGGACTGCAGGGCTGGGGCCCCTGTGCCGTCGGGCCTAGATCTGAATCATGCATCTCACCTCTCTTCTTGCTTCACAAGGGACGTAGGGTATCAAGAAGTGAACCATCTATGGAGATAGCCTGCCCAGAAAGGCAGGAAAACTTCATGATTTTCTGTATGAATCAAACACAGCATTTGGAGAAATAAATATAATTTTTCTAGGATAACTGATTTTAATCTTTCTTCTACTTTTTTTTTTTTTTTCCTGAGTAGTGTCCTAGGAATGTTGTCTACTTGACCTATGTCCAGAGAAGGCAGAGCTTTGGTCACACTGGGCTCCATCCAGCCCCTTGGAACTCTCCCAGCCCTACCCTGCATCCTCCCAAAGTCCTCAGACTACAGTTGCTGAGGAAGAAACTTGGCTTTGGCTACAGAACTGGGCTGCAGAGCAAGCAGCTGGCAACCTGCCTGACTCTCCCTGTGCCTCGTCTCAAGCGTGTCTCACACGCTTGCTGTGGTCTCCATCTGGAGGAGGCAGCCCTGATGAGCCCTTCCGTAGCTGTAATCTCCAGTCAGTCCACCCGCCACTCTGTCAGGTTCGGCAGTAGCCTTGCCTGTAACCCAGAGCTCTCAGGTAAGGTCAGGGATCCCAGGACATCCCCACGCCCATATGTTCTGGCATCGAAGAAAGCGTGCAGAGAGTAAAACTTGGCGCAGGTTTCAGTCCCACATAAGCAGGCTGGCCCCCTTTGCATGCCAGAGGCAAGGTAGGAGCACCCAAGCTGCCAGGCCCTAGGAAGTGTGAGGGGTAGCAGCTTTGAGTGACAGAAATAGGGGACCTGACAAAACCAGCCTGTGCTCCTCACCTCTGATGGAGGAGGCATCAGGGAACAGTTCGCCCACCATGAGAACATCCTTCCACCTTTTGTGAAAGTGCGTGGGAGGCTGTTTTTAATCCCAGCACGAGGAAGGCAGAAGCAAGCGGATCTCTGAATTTGAGACCAGCCTGGTCTACATAGTCATTCCAAAAAGAGTACCTTTGAGGAAAGACTTAGAAACAGTCCTCAACTTGGGGGAAGTGATAACCCTTGTCCTCTGGCTTCTAAACAGGAAACTGTTTTTGATGGGATTTCTCTGTGCATCCCTGGTTGTCCAGGAACTCACTCTGTAGACCAGGCTAGCCTCAAACTCAGAGATCTATCTGCCTCTGCCTCCCAAGTTCTGCAATTAGAAGTGTACATCACCACGCCTGACCCCAGGAAGCATTTAATGGTCCACATTACAATGTGACTGGTCAGCCTCAGAAGTGGCATGTGTGGCACAAGAGCTTTGTGTCTTAACCAATCCAAACATCAACTCTCCGCCTGCCCTGCCCTTGTCTTAGAAACAGGGCTGGGAAGATGAAACCATCAGGGCCACGATAAACAAGCTCTAGCTACATCCTAGGGAGCTGCAGAACTTAGCAATTGTCTTTTGCTTCTGATGGCTTGTGGGGAATAGTAGTGCCCTGCCACTGTCTGCCCCACAATAGGCAGGCCTGCCTTTCCAGACTTGGGAAGGTTTGGAGACTTGGCAGTGGGAGGTTGCAAGTCAGTTCGAGACCCAAAGGCAATGGAAAGAGAAATCAAAGGCTCCTTGCCACTAGACTTGAATGGAAGTCTACTCTTGCCTGGATACCAGTCGGATGGGCTAGAGATAATCTGGGAGGGTGTTTAAGACCCAAATGAAAAGGAGGTTGTGAACTCAGAGCAGATACGTCTGGCAGCCATGCCTCTGCCACCAGAAGGTTCCTTTTTACTCTTGTCAGGAAGTTGGTGCCAAATGAGTGCCAGCTTACTTCCTTGGTCCTCACTTCAGCTGCATGGCCAGTCTCCTGCAGCATGTCGTCCATAGCGCTCGCTGCGCCTACCCGTGAGCATGTGATCTTTGAACTGAAGTACTGGTGATGGAGGGTATAGGCTGGCAGGACCCCATCTGCCTTCCCACTTCCTTTGGTGGCATCCCCCCACTTCTGATCTCCAGTGTGCCCTTGACACCAGAGCTCAGGACAGATAGATGGTTCTGAAGAAACAGTTCTGCCTCCTACCCAGGGCATTTTCTTCACTCCCTGGGGAAACCACCACCCTGTCTCCTTTCAGGCGTGGCTGCCCTTTAGGAGTCCCTTTTCTGGGAGGGGAGGGCAGAACTGCCGAGGGGAACAAAAGCCCCTCATAGTGCCCATTCGTGGGAACTTAGTTGAGTGCCAGGAACAAAGCTAGGGAATTGGAACCATGAGGGGCATCCAAGGGCAGGACAGCTGGGCCAATGCCAAAATGCTGGTCCTCAGATCCTTCCATTCTGTCCTGTTTTCTAGAGTCCCCCTGAGTGTAGGTTTCCTTCCCTTGGCCCCGGGCCGGGCAGAACCACTTGACAACACTGCACACACACGTTGGCTCGTTCTCCCACATGAGAGAGAGCATATATAGCAATATATAGCAAACCTTTTATTTGTTTTTTAATGCTTTATTTTTATTTGGTGTGCATTGATGTTTTGCTTGCATGTATGTCTGTATGAGGGTGTCGGATCCCCTAGAACTGGAGTAACAGGCAGCCATGAGCTGCCATGTGAGTGCTGGGAATTGAACTCAGGTTCTCTGAAAGAGCCCTCTGTCAGCCCCGTGGAGGGTTGTTGTTTTTTTTTAATGCAAAAGGATTTATTTTGATGATTTATAAAAGAAACATTACATGGCAACTCAACCTATATTTACAAATTTAAAAATAAATGTATATAAATGTATTTACACCATGTTACATTAACCAAGTGTTAATTAAAATGTTACAGGTAAGTGTTGAACAGGTACAAGAGAACATAAGGCAGGCATTCGATGCTTCGGTACTTCTTAAAGTATGTCCAACAACCAGCAGACCCTGGGCAGCAGAAGCTGCTGGAAACTGGCTTCAGGAAGCATGGGAAAGTTGATTCTCCAGCTTCACGTGCTGTGCCCCACATGGAGTTTTTAAAGACCATTATTTTATGTGTATGTACCCGTGTGTGTGTGTGTGTCATGTGCAGGCATGCAGGAACCTGTCTCAGTCAGAAGAGGGAAGAAATCTGGAGTTATAGATGATTGGGAGCTTCTTTGGGGTTGGTTGGTTTTGGGTTTTCTTGAGACAAAATCTTCCTTTGTATATCAAGCTGGGACTGCAAATGATGCCCATATATATTCTTTTAGAAAAACCCAAATTGAAGTTTGTGACATATCCCAAGTAACAATTGTTTTAGTTTTAAAACTAAGCCACTGGATTGGCCAGGCATAGCGGCATGATGGCGTGCCGCTTTAAGGCTCGCTGGAGGAAGAAGGCCAGCCTTGGCTGCACACAGCAGAAAGGACTGTCCAAGGACCTGTGAGCTCTGCTTAATGTATAAAGCTCCAGGGGCTGGGATCTGAGTCGTGAATCTGTCTTCTTATCTGGGTTACACACTGGTGCACTTAGCTGCTCCACTAGGGTGACTTAAGAGGAGTCCTGGGAACCAGCCCAGCGCTGTGCCTGAGAGAAAAAGAGAAGGGAGGAATGTTGGCGTACCAGGAACTGATCCGGTAGGATCTGGGCCTGGGAAGTGTGGCTTAGTGGTCACTATTCTAAATTCAGTTCTAGGAGCCTGGCAGGGGTTGGGGGTCTTGCTGTAGATCCAGCCTTAAAGGAAGCTGTTGGCAACATTTGAACTTAAAAGTCAACAGGGCAAAGGTCAAAGTTGGATGGGCATGGTAGGTATGGGCAGATGCAAGGTTCTCACTGGGAAACCTCCAAAGATGTCCAAGAGGAAGGACAGACATCCACGGTGGGCTCTGTTAGCTGTGCTCAGGCAACTGGCCACCTCTCACACACCCAGGATTGCTTTGCTCACTGTGGGAAGACCTTGGAAATGCCTAGGGTCCTAGAGTAGACTGCCCTCAGACCAGGCTGGGCCACAGCCAGCTCCACATTCCCATCCCCACCCTCCTCCAGCCCCAGGCTCCTCTCAGCCCACAGCCTTCCTGACAGCTGAGGGCCTGCAGCTGCCCCAGCTCAAGGGCCCCTCAGAGGTCTCAAGGACAGCTGCTGCCCATGACCCCACTGGCCATGATTCCTGGACACTACTCTTTGACAGCCCAGCCAGTCCTGTCTCCACTGCTCACTCCACCCTCCTGATCATGCCCAGGGGTTCCAGGGCTGTCCCAGCACACAACAGGAGCACAGTCATGATAGAGAGCTTCGGCAGCAAGAGCAGTCCCCAGCCCCAGTGCTATTCAGAGGAGGCTTTTCCACACAGCAGAAACAATATAGAAAGGGAGAACTCCCTTCAGGCCCATTTGTCCAGCCTGTTCTGACAGCTCACTTACCGGAGAAGGGCCAGAGGTGACCTCTCATAGGACAAACAGAGATGGAGAACCGTCATTCCTGACTCCCAGCAGGTTTCTCCTGAAATCTACTGTTCCCATGAGGGCCTGAGGCCCCGTAGAACATTTCTGGTAACAGAAGTTGCCCCTAGGGATATGTGTCACAGGGGTTGGAGTCACCCCCATATCCTGTTCAAACTCAAGATATAGCTGATGCTGGCATTAACTCCTGGTCCTACCTCCTGAGTACTGGGATTACATGGGTGTTTATTCAGTGCTGGGGCTCGAACCCAGAGCCTCACTCATGCTAGGCAAACACTGCCAAATGAGCTACATCACTAGCTTTAATTTTGTTAACATTTATTTATTTGGGTGGGTGTGTACGCCGCCGCAGCATGCATTTGGAGATCAAGAGGACAGCCTGGGAGAGTTGGTTCTCTCCTCCCACCAAGTGGGTTCTGGGTATTGAATTCCTCCCACCAAGTGGGTTCTGGGTATTGAATTCAAGTCATCAAGCTTTCTAGGCAGTGCCTTTACTTGCTGAGCCATCTTACCACCTTTTTTCTCTTTTAAGATTTATGGGTGCCAGGCAGTGGTAGCCAGATTATTAGAGAAACCCTATCTCAAAACAAAATGAACAAAATTATTTTAAATTTATGTATGGAGGCTTTGTGCATGTGAGTGCGGGTACCCTAGAAGGCCAGAGGCGTCAGATCACCCTGGAGCTATAGTTTCAGGCAGCTATGAACCATCTGAACGTGGATGCTGGGAAGTGTACTCTGAAAGATAACAGATTCTCTTGGCCATTGAGCCACCTCTCCAGCCCCATCCCGTCCCTGCCTTTAATAGCAAAAGTCATCACAACTTTCCTGCCACTTAATTCCTGAAGTGTTCCACAGCTTCTCACTTATGCTATTCACTCTTAACCCCCAAGGACAAGGATGGTCTTGTTCATAGTTGTCTCTCAGTTCATGTGGCATGACACATACCACCTCTCGAGTGCTGGGATCACAGTCTTACACCACTAGGCTTGTCTGGAATTAAACTCAGGGGTCGGTGCATATCCAAACCTCAGCAAACAGTCTGCAGAATGTAATGCCAACAGAAAACAACAGAGGCCCCACAGAAAATTACTTAACCCATCCTCTTGAGTCATCCACCCCCAACAGTGGGTCCTGCCCTCCTTGTGACTCCCATCTTTGCCTGCAAGATTTGGGGGCTCAACTTGTCTAAATATTTAGCATTTGTGTAAAACAGATGAACAGGGCTTGGCTTGCTCAGCCGCTCTGGAAGTGATTCTGAAAGCTAGTAATGCCATAGTCTCTGGGAGAAGTCGGTGTGACAGAAACTGACTCTTGAAACTTGTGAGTTTTGAGCCACATGAAAAGATGCCTTGTTGAAAGATAATCTAAATAAAAAAGAGAGATGTGAGTGGATTGGGCATGGGAATGCAACCTGTCATCCCAGCGTTTAGGAGGCAGAGGCAGGAGAATTGATACAAATTCAAAGCCAGACCACATAGGGAGTTTCTTAGTTATCAGCTCTGTTGCAGCAGCAGTGATAAGTGTTGACCAGAAAGCTAGTTGGGGAGGAAAGGGTTTATTTGGATTATATTTCCACATTGCTGTTTATCAATGAAGGAAGCCAGCAGGCCTGAAGGTGGTAGCTGATGCAGAAGTCATAGAGGAAGTGCCTCGTGGTTCTCTCAGTCTTCTTTCTTCCTTTCATTCCTTCCTTCCTTTATTTATTTTTTTATATACTTTTTTATTTGAGGCAGGATTTCTCTGTGTAATAGCTGTGACTGGCTGTCCTGGAACTCACTCAGTAGACCAGGCTGGCCTCAGACACATAGGGATCTGCCTGTTTCTGCCTCTCAAGTGCTGGGTTTTAAGACATGTGCCACCACTGCCTGGCCAGCCTGCCTCCTTAGAAAACCAGGACTACCAGTGCCCAGCCCAGGGATGGCTCCACTCACAATGGACTAGGCCCTCCTCCATCAATCACTAACTAGAAAAATCCACACAGTTGGATCTTAATGGAGGCGTTTTTCCAATTGAGATTCCCTCATTTCAGACAATTTCAGCTTGTGTCAAGTTGATATAAAACTAGCCAGCACAGTGAGTTTGAAACCAGCCAGAGCTAGAGTGAGACCCTGTCTCTAAAAATCAAAAAGAAGGGCTGGAGAGATGACTCAGCAGATTAAGAGCACTGGCTACTCTTCCAAAGGTCCTGGGTTTGATTCCCAGCAGCCACATGGTGGCTCACAACCATCTGTAATGAAATCTGGTGCCCTCTTCTAGCATGCAAGCAGAACACTGTACATAATAAACAAATAAAAAGGCTGGATAGTGATGGCACATGCCTTTAATCCCAGTGCTTGGGAGGCAGAGACAGGCAGATTTCAGTGAGTGAGGCCAACTCAAAGTGAGTTCCAGGACATCCAGGGCTGTACAGAGAAACCCTATCTCAAAACAAACAAACAAAAAAAGATTAACCCTGTCTTGAAAAAAACAAAACAAACAAAAAGATTATTCTGATTGTGTCTGTCTTAATTAGGTGTCTATTGCTGTGAAGAGATACCATGACTACAGCAACTCTTATAAAAGAAAACATTTACTTGAGGCTGGAGAAGTTTAGTCCATTATCGTCATGGTGGAAAGCTTGCCAGCTTGTGGATAGACATAGTGCTGGAGAAGGAGCTTAGAGTTCTGCATATGGATCTTCAGGCAACAGGAAAAAACTGAGACACACTTTCTCCAACAAGGCCACGCCTCCTAATAGTGCCATTCCCTATGGGCTTATGGGGGTCATTTTTACTCAAACTACCACAGTGGCATACCTCTGTAGGACCCTTGTCCTTCACAATGCTTTCAGCAACTGTTATGACTATCTCTGGCCTTTACTAAGCAATGAGCCTTTCCTTCTCAGTGGCAAGTGACAGAAACCATACCAAAACCCCCCAAAAACTGGAATTTGTTAGCTAATGTAATGGAAAATGCTTTGGGTATAGCTGGGACCAGGAACACAAGCAATATCATAGATTTGTTTTCTTGGTTCTGTTTCTTTATTTGGAGGAGCAGTGGGATAGGCTTTGAATAGTCCAGGCTGACCTTGAACTCCTGATCCTCCTTCTTCCACTTCCTGAGTACTGGAATTATAAGTGTGCGTCAACACGGGAAGT